TTCAGGTCTCAAAACGGGCGTGGAAAATGCTTTAAAAAAGGCGCCAACTCTCCCTCTTACATTACGACTCTATACACTCTATGCATTTGAATGTAATGTGGTATGTTCTTATCGCCAAATCAGTTAGCACCTAAATTCTACGAAAATTCCATTGGAAAATCATTCAAAACTTCAAATTCAGTTGGAGTGCATTGGTTTTATTAAATTAAATATAATATTAGCTCTAACTAATTAGCTTGATACATACAATTGGCTGTTCAAAAAATAGTGGGACATATGATATAGCATCAAAAGTAAGCTAGATAGAGGCTTTTTCTTGGCTTTGTTAAAAAGGAAAGCTTAATAGATTTCTGATGAGACCGAGACCAACTCATTTGATTTAAAATTAAAGTAGCTCCGTAGGTTTGAAAAAAGTGTCGCGTTGCCGCTAAAGATTTTCAATGAGGGTTGTCGCTCACCAAAATTTGTTTTTAAACTACTGTGCGATGCGATTATACAAGTAAAACAGCTTGGCAACCCTAGAAACTACTTTACGACATTTTACCATAGTCGTCATCCAACCAGAGGACCCTAGGCTCCAAAGGATAATTAGTCCAGTCGTCTGATGGCGTCCCCGAAATCGGGGAAATCTGGCCAGTGCGAGACAAACCCCACGAGCGTTTATAGCTATTACTGAGTGATTGTTGCTCCGTGCTATGCTAAATTTTCGCAAACGACGTGTATGAATAAAATTATTCGGTAAAAGAACAGTATTTATTAATTTATTGAAAAATTAGCGTGAAATGAAACAAAAACCACTTTGTAACTGCTGTGCACGCGCGAGTGTCCAGGTGCGAATATGTTCACAGAACTGTCCCGTCAGAGAAACGATGTAAAACAGCCACTAGTCGATTAACTTGCAGATATGATGCGGCTGAAACCAAAACATTGATGATAACCAGAACAGAACAAAGTAGTCTCTCGATGAAGCTTTCCGCGCGCGATTCTGTCAAGAACTCAAACGGAGCGTTCATAAAAAGGCGGAACGATTTGAACAAAAAGACGCATGAAAGCCCAGAAATGCTGCAATAAGTTACGATCTGTTAAAAAAAGGTTTGCTCGGGTCGTAAATAGTTACAAGTAATGGAATCAGTCAGCAAACTGCACCAACCGGTGTGATAACTGTTGCCAGTCTTACCATTAATTGGCAGTCTTACAATTATCAGTCAAATTATCACAGGAAAACTAATGGAAAAATTGTGATGCATTCGCATGAACATTTTTTGCAGACATTCTTGACTTAAACACTAATTTTATAAAACTTAGATGTTAGTTTGTAAACACACACATACAATTCAATACATGCCCACAGAAACATAAGTATACAATTTCCGACTCCAGAGAATGTCTCCAAAAAATTCAAACAGGAATGCAGAGAGGGCATGAACAGATAGGAATATAGGAAATAGAAATAGATCAGAAAATAATAAAGAGGAAATATGGAAGAAAATATACTGATATTTTGGACGAATACATGGGATGAGAGTAACATCCATAGAACTCGGGGATGAATAAAATTACATCGATGCTCTCAATGTTTACCTCACGAAAATGGCCACAGTCATATGGTACATTCATGTGAATGTATACAATTCATCTCTCCCCTCCTCCCCCTTAAAAAATATTGCTCTTTATATTAAACTGGACATTTTTCTGTAATGACAAGTTGATGTTGGCTGAGGATATTGAAAATTTTATTGTTCATTAAGGCAACGGTCGCGTGCAAGAAAATAATGCTCCGCCCCCTTCTCTGAGGAGACGCGATTACCGACAAATTTATGACCCCAAATAATGTATTCGTGTTTTGTTCCCAGTGATGTTGAAATTAATCAGGCCTGCATTGCCCGACTGATGTTTTGAGTGATTATTTTCACACTAATGTCAGATCACAAAACAATTATACTGGGCGGAAAGGGAGCCAAGCCAAGAGACACATATATCATGAGGCCATACCTGAAAATCCTTCAGAGCCCTTTATGAAACCCCGAAATGCAAGATTCCGATGATCTCACCACGAATATAATTGCAACTCCTTGTTAAAAACAAGGGGCTATTCATCAAGGATCATTCTCTGACGCATGGCTGTTTTACATAAAAAAATAATTCTGCATAGCACGAAAAACTAAATGAAAAGATAGGCTAATTTAATTTCTCTTCAAAAATGGTGAGTTTGGGTACACCTAGTCGAATATAAGGGTTCACTTTAAGTATCATGTTAAAGAGGAAGGTATTAATGAAACGTTCGTTGCAATTTTTCGGATATTTCCGGTGTTTAAAAGTTCTAAAAGCTAACATGGATTTTCACAAATGCCAAAGTTATTTTTAACACTTTAAATCTACACAAAATCAGTATAGAGATCGTTATTTGACCGTCTGAATCTTCCGATGGAACGCATTTAATATTATGGAAATGAATCATTACGTTTTCACTTAAACAAAGTTTATCAATTTCTTCGGTTTTAGAAAAGCTGTTTCCTCTTTAAATACCCTGTAATGGATCATTAGCATGAAGGAAATAATCCTTAGCAAATCATTTAAGAATCAAAATCCAAAAAAATGGAGAATCGGGTTCGTTTGATACCATCGTGGTAGCACTGTTTTGGGAGTAAACTAAAATTTGAAGGGAAAGACTTGAACAGTTGAGACCAAATTCGCACGATTTGTTTCAATCTTAGTAAATTGCATTACATAGTACGGACCAGATTTTAGAGACTTGCTCCAAGTTGCATCAGGTTTGAGTCCCTCCCAAAAATGCAACGTTGAAGACAACAACTATTTTTATATTAAAAATATTTTTTCCCGATTTGAAACTTTTAACAAGAGAATATTTACGAAAAAATGAATACAAACCTATCCCCAACTCGCTTTTTCCTTCAATGCGACTTGTGCACTTCTGTTAAACTTGGTTCATATATTGGAGTGCCTTCAATTTTGGTGTATGCAATACGGCCAGCCACTGAGCAGCTATAGTTGCATTCACAGGTTAAGCCCTTTTCGCACGGAATTCTGAGTTGTTCGTGTACTATTTCATGTTCATTGGTTTATTTCGTTGGGGAAATCGCGTGACTCTCTACCACCAGTGCATATCCATGCAAATGTAACGAATTGAATTCAGAGAAATGTCCTATGCGCAAAACCTATAGTGCAAATCTTTGACATCCGAATTTCACTCACCAATATAAAGCCAATGACAGATTAAACTAGTTAATTGTTTAATATGTTTTTCGGAAAATCTTAATATGTTTAATATGCTTTTCTTGAGCTAACTCAAGAATATTTACATGTGTCTTTATCGCAAGTTTGTTATTACACAACGATTGCTTCAGAGTAAAAGACCCCCAGCTAAAGTATGGTTGATCTGGAGCAGGTTTTAAAGTGAAAATTTGCACGATACTTCACGACAAAGTAAGCTGCCAAAGGACATCGAGAGGATCATCATCATTTTAAAAAGGAATCATCATTTTAAAAAGTAAAAATCATTTTAAAAAGTCTCATGATCAAAGACAAATTGATTGGTTTTATTTTTACAATTACAGCTTGAATGACTAAATTCAAAATCGAGGATGGGGCGGTCGGAATGTATATCTGTACTGAGTTTCACCGATAAATTTTAGGCACAATTTCCATCACAGTATCAATGCAAGCCTTTAAGCTACTTCGTAAATACATTTTTGAATGTGTATTTGTGACGAATCTCGACTCATTTGTGGTGTAAAGCATAGGAAAAATGAAAATTGGCAAATATAGACTTTATCGCCTGCTCAAGAAAGTATGACACAACTTTTGGATACAAATTGAAAAACGCTGCCTTTTACATTTTTGAAGGATGCCAAGTAGCAAAATTGAAATCGATAAAATGTTAAATTCTTCACACATCTTGCGAGTATGAGACAAAGAGCAAATCGTTTTACCAATTTATTGTCTACCTTAAAAGTATTCTACGAATATCCGGATTAAATTTTATTTTATTGTTTCCTTATTTCTCACTCTTTTCTATCATTCCAGCGTGATTGGTACCAAATATTTTAAACATGTTGTTTAAAAGCTTGTGAACTCAAGAAAAACAATTTTAAAAAAATGAAAAATGAGACATTAATAAAACTTTCGAATATGAAATTCTAACTCTACTTCCTTATTTTCTAAGAAAAATTTACGAAAGAAAAATCTCAAAGCTCATGAAAAACAAAGAGCAATTTCTAAACACTTAAAATGTTTCCAAAAAGTGTTAAAAAATATTGGAGGTGGTTTCTTAAAGAATCTTTGCTTAAATTTTTCCAGACCCGTATGTTACTCGAAGAAACACCCAGAAAAGGTTCTCAGCCTCCTTAAATTGTATCTGTTTTGAAAAAAAAAATGGAAATTGGACTCTCCGACAACCAGTGCAGCTGAAGATGAGTTCGATTACATTTTGCAATAAGGAACAACTATTTCTGGCCCATTTTTTGAAACAACATACATGCTATTGGCTTTCTTATACAGATAAGTGCTTTTATGGGAGAGCCAGAGATAGTGGTTCTTTACTGCAAAATGTAATCCAGTTGTTTGAGAGCAAAACGTTGCCTTGAGATTTTACGTAAATTTTTTCATAGTTTATTCTAATAATTTTTTTACTTGATAAATTGTCTTCTCCTCTCAAGTTGCACAAGGCATTATGGGTCGGCAAACACGTTCGAGAGAGGGGACGGGGGCGTGTTGACCGTGCGGTGCATCAGGGCCTAAGGCTTTTGTTATAACGTCGCCCTCCTAACATAAGGGCGTAACTGCACTCTGCAATGAGCCCTGTTGTCCATATGATTCAATGCTATTCGGGGCTCATCCCGATGTGTAGTTATGTCCTTTTGTCAGCCAAGCGACGATATGTACGCTGTGGTTGCGGGCCAATATTGAAATTGGATGAGCTGGGTGCCCAGCGGAGTGGGGGGCCCCGCCACCAAGCTTACCCCGTCCTAGAGATGGACTCAGCGCCACACCGCGCCGACCCTATATTAATCAAATTCGTTAACATCATAACTAGTTCATCTTTTTTCACCCGCACCGCAGTTTCACTCGCAACCCCGTCCGCTCCGTTCCGTGCAGTTTTAACAATTTTCCAAAATGTGCTCCCTAATCACTATTGTAAGTCTCGTTCTTCTTCTCTGCAAGTTTTCAGTTTTTTTATTCGAAGTTTCTGTGCGTTCGTGTTCTTATGGAAAGATGTGTGTTTATAATGAAAGAAATTTAACCCTTTTTTCAAGAATGTGAAAAGCAGCAGAAAATAGGGTTTTAATTTTGGATAAATTACTGTGTGACAGAGCTTGTAAAAGACAGAGCAGTATGAGACTTTTTTTTTAAAAAAAGCTGAGGTTTCAATTCCTAAAAACAGTGAATCGTCGCAGTGACAAAAAAATTGTTCAAAAATATCCTTAGAGGTGGTTCTCTAATTTTTTTCATGCTCAGTATTGGGTTCACTCTTCTTATGGATCGTGCCTCAACTCTTTGAGGGGATAGGAAAAAATATATTTTCAATTTTTAACAAATCAATTCTAAATGTTTAGTTTCATAACTCACATTTTTGGGTTAAATGCAGATGTTCTTTTTTATTTTTTCCCCAATTTTAAAATTAAACTCTTCTATCTTTTTAACATGAAATTTGTATTTTTTTATACAACAATAATACATTTATAATTTTAAAGAGAAAAGAGAGAAGTTAAAATTAGTGATATTACTTCTATCAGTGTCGTGGTTGAGCTTTAAACTGATTAACGTAAAACGTGTGTAAGTTTAGCATGAGAAACAGAAACTCCCGTAGCGTGAAAGCAATCTAGTTTCCTCGGTCTTTTGAATTTAATGGATAGAGATATTTTGTTCAAAATCAGCAGAATTCGACCAAACTGTAAGAGAAAAAAAGGGTTAACGGATAAATTCGTTCATTGACCATTTACAGTAGCTCCTCTTTTAACTAAAAAATTTAATGTAAATTCTTATAATTTTTCAAGCCGTAGAATGTCAAAAGAAACCGTAATACCTAAAAGGCTACTGCCTTTTTAACCGTCGCGAACCTTACAAAGAAATTATTTTCTTCCAATTCAGCGTAACTCGAAGTTTGATTTTAAAAAAGTGAGGTCCACAGCCTTTCGTGTGTGAAACATTTTTTTTTTTTTTTTTTTTTTTGAACACGAGTGCAAAGGTAATAGATAACTGAGACAGAACATAAATGTGGCTCCATTTCACAACTCATATTTTTTTCATAGATTTTTTTAAGAGACTCGAGTTTTGAAGACGCTCATTTCAGCTAAATAATAATTATTCTCATTGCACATTAACTTTTTAGCATTTAAACCGTGCGTGGAATGATTGTCTTGGCCGACACTCAAGTAAGAATTTGATGGGAGGCTTTTGAATTCGGGTGGGTTGATTTAAAACACCAAGATATACATAACACGGCGGATAAAGCATGTAGTCGCGCCGAGCTGCCCAACCACAGGAATTTTTATGGCACGTGGTTTGAACGATGTAGACGTCTACGATCATCTCTCCTGATTGAGCGTTTCTATCTGTTCAAAGCAAAGTGAAGTTTGAGGTTCCGGAAACCACAAATCCTTGCTAATTCTGATATTTGCGACCACCAAAATTCTAAATTATTTCCTGGAGAAAATGGTCAAAATTGAACATTCAGTGACATATGCAACCCTAGCGACTAGCCTTTGTTGGTTTAGCAACTTATTCTAACATGAATCATAAAATATTGAAAATGTCTGATTATAGCTTAATGTTTTAAATTGGAATTAAATTTTGTATTTGCTGGATAAAAGTGACGTGATTGGAGCGAAAATATCATTGATCTGCGTCTATCAGTTTCAACCCTTAGCTAATACAACAGAAAACCGATAGATTTTTTGACAACGCTTTTGATTTTAACATTGCCAATTTTTTAACTCGAAAGCACTTATTAGCACTATGAGGTATGTTTTGTCTAATTTAAAATTGGCACTGTTTTGGTCAAAGCTTATACATTCAAAATAAACACTGACCGTGAGGTCATGCGGTGAAATGACATAAAAATACATTTTCATACTGTGCTTGGTGCATCCTAACAACGAGCTGGCTAAAAAATGGTTCTTACTAAGAATGGCAAAGCACTGCTTAAGCAATGAGAGATATTTGTACAAACATCATCCGTTCTCCCTTCAGAAGTTCAAAAATGAACAGCTGAACGAGATATTAACAAGTATTTTTAATACAGATCAAATAGAAGTTGAATCATACAAATTACGTCAATCATATTTTTACCATTTAACTGATGTTAATTGTTATTACTCATATCTTGTTTAGGAGTTGATTCCCAGACATTCCATTTTCGTATGATTCGTTTTCCTCAAGAAATTTTGAATAGAAATCATGTTATGTAGTGCTTTAATAGGTCAGTTGCGCTAGTCACAGCCTCGTGTTTTAATGCTTGATTCTTTTATAACAGCTAGAAAACAGCAACTTTCTACATTAAATTGTAATGGACCCTTGAAAAGTCGCGGTTTTGACGTCATCCACCGCGGCACTGGCAGCCTTGGTTTCTTCCTTTTTGCTTTCATCCAAATTCACGATGAATAACCAGTGCAAATGTCCGTCACACCGACTGATGACAGCACACTGAAAAAAGAGATCGGTAGAATTTACCATTTACCATTCCTTCACGCTGTATTTCACACAGGAAGAAGGAATCGTAACTTCTACCAATCTTGAAGTCAATTCTGCCTGAGGAATGGTTACCTGTACCAGTATATAGTAACGTTTATCCTCCTTCTGACAGAATTGACTCTAAATTGACAACGTGAAGGAATGGTAAATTCTACCAATCTTTTTTTTCAGTGCAGGTTGAAAGATTCCAAGGGTGTCATTATACTGCGATGGATGACTTCAAAAACCTGAATTTTCAAGGGGCGATATCTCGGTTAATATTGAATGGAAAAAGTTGCTGTTTGGACCGATCTCATTATTTTTAGCTGATGTATAAGAATCGAGCATCAAAACATGATTTTCTGACGAGCGCATTTGACCCATTCCGCCTTACTAAAAAAGAACGCCGTATGAACATTCGAGGGTTGCCCAAATTCCTTCGATAAAATGTTCATTTTTGAGGAAAGTTATCAATATTTTTCCTTGAAATATTCAGGAACTTTAGATGAAATTGCAAGCAAAAGTATCTGAAAAATTTGAAAGAAAATATTCATAAGTTTACCAGGAAATTCATGTTTTATTAAAGGAAATGTGTCAACGCCTTGAAGTTCATACGGCGTTTTTCCTTAGCACGGCAGCATTCATACCTTGTCTAGTGGCCCATTAATTGATCCCATTGGCGGATCCAGCAATTTGGCAACATTGTCTTTTCTCCATTTAAATCTGTAGAAATATATCGGTTCTTGGAGGGGCCAGGTGCTCCGATGAGAATCGATTATTTACCATCGGTTTAAATGGAGGCAATCCGGTGTTGCCAAAGTGCTGGATCTGCCTCTGATTGATCCCAGTAATTTTTAAATCCTTCATGGTAGGCTTTTTGCTCGACACGAAACCGTTTCGCTGGCATCTGCTTAACAGCCCTGCGACGTATACAAATCGCCACTCCTCTTATTTATCAATGAGCGTGATTTAATCTTGTCGAAACACTGTCCACCATTGTTAGTTACTTCATCATTTGCGGAGTCAGGCGCGCTCCGGGATGGTCGGAGACGGATACCCTCTTATTCACTCAATAAGCATGTAATATGCACGAAAAACCATTTTGTTCCAAGCTCCGAGGCACGACTGCAATTTGATTTATCTGACCCGTTGCGTATTCGTGGCGATTTATGGACCTTCGTCTTCGTCCGTTTGAAAATCGAGAGTTCTCATTGAACTTTATGATCGGTCAGGTTTTTCACAAAGTGGTGTCATCCCTCGTTTGGCCCGCGTTTAGCAGAAGGAAACTAAGCTAGATCAGCGGGCCGATTATTTAAATTGGTAGACAAAGCTAAAGACAAAGAAGACAAAAGAGATATGGAGGGGTTCTATTGGTGGAAGCGGGTGGTGGCAATAGACATAGGAGGTAGGTAATGGACTAACTAATGACAACCAACTAAAGACCCGACAGTTAGTCCATCATTTTCTTCCTTAGTCTATAAGAACCAACCATGTCAACCAATAGGATCGCTCTATACTCCGTATGTCTTCTTTGTCTATCGCTTTGTCTATCAGTTTCAATAATCAGCCCGCTGTTATCACCAAATTAACGTTATTCAATGTCGGCTGTGTTATCCGGCTCATTTTATGAGTCTTCTTGGGTCTAAACGCTGTATTCTCGATCTACGCGACTGAGTTATCAAATCAAACCGAACAGTAGAAAAAACTTGGTTATATGAACCGGGAATATAACCACTAAAACCAAACTTACGGTTATGTGGACTAAATAGTACGGCTGATGTAGAACACCGTGCTTATGATGTATGAGACCGAATTTTTTTCTCAATTTAAATGTAAAAACTCTCCGTCATGTTTTTAATTGTTTCATAAAGTTGTATTCCTTCCTAGGGCTTAACATTAAGGACTAACCATGGCAACTGTTCTCCTGTTTGAAATATTTTCTCTCATCCTGGCTGTTTGTCAGGAAAAAATTTACAAAAAACAGTACACAAATACTCCCAACTCATATTTTATGCAAGAAAAGACTTGGTGCACCTCTGTTAAACTTAGTCTATATGAGCGCAGTGTGACGTTGTGATGGCAGTGAAATCTAAAGCGCCTTCAATTTTTTGTATGCAACACGGATTGTCACTGATCACTTATAGTTGTATTCACGAGTTATAAGCCCCTTTCACGCGGACTTCTGAGTTGTTTGCGTAATATTTTATGTTCACCGGTTTATTTGAGGAATCTTGGGACGTTTTTGGAGGTAATGACTATCCAAGGATAAGTTCATAACTAGATAAATTTAAGTTTGAAAATGTAAATTGGTTTCCTACCCCGAGCATTGTCCATTCATTCCACACTTGCTTTAAAACGGGTTTACTCATATGTTTTAAACTAATGATAGGAATTTACAAACAAACAAATGAGGGAAATCATATTTTTTTTACCTGTGGGTTCAACATTATTATGTTACCATTATTTACCGTTTTTCCCCCCTCTCACTTTGAAAATAAGTCTAAATTATTTCAGAGATGTAAAGATGACAGTTGGATGGAAATAATGCCTCTCAGTCTTCTGTTTGCCCAATTCCCCAGTCTTTAGAATTGGCTTACATTCTAACGGATTACCATAATAGGTGAATCGTCCTCACCATAGTAATAAGAAGAGCCAAAAAATATCTTTAGGAGTTGGCGTATTCTGCAGAAGCTTAACGCATCCAGTGGGTAAATTATGCGACTTTAAATTCGTGCCACAAAATAAAATACCTGGTGACATTCTGTTTTTGGGCTGTGAACGACTTACGACTCAATTGTCCCTGAAACTTAGACAGAGAATAACATCTTTTGGTACATTTATTAAGATTGACAAGATACTCATCTCGCACATTCGAGAACCAAACGAGGGAATTTCACGCTTTATGATGCACTAAACGATAATAATTATAGTTCCGAAAGACGCCAACGTCCTGTTTTCGACAAGTTCTCAGGAAATGATTTACACAAGTGAAGAAGATATCAACTCAATGAACTCAGTCAAAAATCCTAAGCCAGCCAACCTTGAACTTTGAACCCGCCTCCGTTGTTATTGACCTAAATTATCCACCGTGAAATTGAATATGATAATTCAAATTCTATGCCTGGTCTCGTAGGCTTCCTTTATATTTTCTATCTGCACTTCTTGGTGAGCCACTTTTTGCCAAACTCGGTGAATGTGATAAAGTAAAATTTTTAGAGACTGATTTTGTGCAGTGGTTTTTTTACCTCATTCTTCGCTGCTCCTTGGTTGCCATTTGTGGTATCTACAATTTTGGATTTGTTGGTTTGTTTCAGACTTTATTAGGTTTGATCGGAGTGTGCGTGGGTGCTCCGCAATTTGGTGCTCCCCGCTACAACGCCCAGGTACCTAGGTACAACCCAGCGCCAGCCCCAGCCCAACCAGCCTTCGCCGCTGGACCCTACACGACCCCTATTCCCATCTTGGCACAAACTCAGCAAGTCAACACTGATGGCTCATACCAGTACAGGTGAGTCTCTTTTATTAACTAAAAATCTCAGTAAGCTTACACCGATTGTGAAACTGAAGAACCATATATTCCACATCACCGCAAGCTTCTTGTTCATTCGTTTAAATGGAGGAATTCAATCTTAAGAAAGAAAAAATTAGAACAGAAATGTTTAAAACTAAAATAAATTGAAGGTCTTCTCATCGTTGATGTGAAAAAATCTTTTTTACGAGGTTTTAAACGTTTTGATATACGCGGTGCAGTATCTGCACTTAGAATAATGTATTGTATCTGAAGGGATGATTTTCCTTCGACAACGATTTATTTCTTTGCCACTGAGAAACTCTCCCTGAGGCAGCAATATTATATTTTTATCATTGTAAGCTAATATCGGCGGTGAAACTACCTGATCATGTATCTCGTTTGCGGTGTTTCAAAATCTCCGCTTCCATTTTATTTTTTCGAAGGAGAACAAATCAATATAATTCATTGAAGGTGGTGCAGAGTTTTCCAAGCATTAACGTCGAGTAGTTATCAAGTTAAAATATAAAATGTAGAAGAAGTCTGCAACGTCGCAAACCGAAATACGTGTTCTAGTCATTTTTCTGTCAATATGCAGCTGCTGGATATCAACGTTATTTTTTGTGATCTTTTTGGCGATTTTCTTTGAGCGAAATGATCCACTCGTAACATCACAAATGCACGTGGCTAGGACAACTCCTTATAAACGCAATTCACACATTTTCAACGATAATATAATTTTTAAATGAAAATTTCAAAAATGAAAAATTTGAGCTTGAGAGTTTTTTAGCTCATTCCATTTCCATTCATGTATCTTAACTTTTTGACAGTGAGCCTATATCACAAAAATCAAAATCCGGGTGAAAAGAAGTCGATGGCATTCAATTAATTGTCTCATTTGAAAGAAAATGCTGACTGAAGAGAAAAGAGCATTTGTTTTAAAATGTCATTCGCTTTAATCCGATCAAATTCAAACTCTGTGATAACCTCGCTTTTAGAATAACTCGGTTTTTACGTAGAAAGTAAATAATCTCACGAAGGATTTTTTCTTGATTAAGGTGAAATTCGTCTGACATTTTGCGCTTCATGTGATCAAAAGATTAAGTTAGCCGTAATTAAAATTAAACCGTAAAACTATGAAAAATACTCACGCACTAACGTTTTGTGCAGCTGTTAAACTGACTCGGAACATGGTCATCAAAAGTACAGAGACTAGTGCCGGTTTTCGTCGCGTCCCTGACGAAAAACCGTATCTCAATTTCCACGTGAGCCCTGATTTACATGTAAAGCTATGCTTTCTGGGGCTCAAGTAGGGGTCGAAATACGCGCTTATGTCGGACGAGTGATGTTCTGTCTCACAGAATGTCAGGCCAACGATCTACGCAAGACTCGAGCCCTGAATTATCACCGGAAAATAAACACCTAATTAAACAGCACTTCACTCTCAAATTAATTAAAAGAGACAAATAGTTTATTGTTTTTACGTTGTTGGGCATGTAGCACAGTGTCACTATCAACTGGGAACTTTCGTTTTCATGGACAGTCAAGGTCCTCGCGCACTTGAATTACGAGCGCTAATAACAGACAAGAGCGACTGTAAACCATAAAAATTCATGTATCTTAGGTTGCTGCATCGAGAGTTTAGTATGAGTACAAGATACTCGAGGGATAAATACAATTTTCTTCCGAAAATTGACATGACTAAAACAGATTTCAAAATTTGATGGAAAACATTCAGTATTAAATCATGTGTGATATTTATACACATTCTTTTAAAAAGGAAGAGAAGTTTTAAAAGATGCAGTATTCACAACCCAAAGTATACGTGATTCATATTCGTAAAATGTGGTTCATAAAACAGTGCCTTTCCTTTTTCGGATTCTTCCATTTACGGGTGTAACTTACAGAAATGACTTTGAAGAATCAAAAAACAATTATAAAAGTTCTTCAATTTTTTAAATGGCCTCTTTTCAAAAAGTTTCCAATTTGTCTCTGTAAACTTTGAATGAACGTGTACCTACAATTTTTTTGAACTGTTCTCTGACCTCTGGACTACAGAAGTACGACAATTGGCTTTATTTTTGAAAAATGTGACATCCTTTCGAAAATGAGAGTATCGAACATCAACCCATCTATAGTGTATCAATGAATAAGACATTTTTTGTATTTTGACCAATACTTAGAACTTAATTTTAGAATAATTGGTATATATGCTTTTTCAAATTAGTTAATCGAACATGATCGTATCGATTATATGGATATACATCGGATGCATATGTAGAGATACCTAGACTTAGAAATATTGTGTCCTTCGAACTCGGGATAATTTTTAAAATGGTCCTCACTATCATTTTATTTTCTAAATTAGTTTAAGTGATTCATATTTTGTGAAACGACGTAAGTTATTGTCGTTTTCACAAACTAATTGCGGTGGACACACGGGTCATAAAACAGTATGCTGGAGTTTTGCTCGTATGAGCACAGTATTCCCTCAAAGAGATATGCTGTTTGGTGCAACACTAGTTACGTCCATTCAGGAAGGCACGTAACTAGTGTTGCACCAAACAGCATATCTCTTTGAGGAAAAACTGTGCTCATACGAGCTTCTTCCCTCTGTATTGAGATTTTCAGCTTTATGCTGAATTTTTAACGCACGTTGGCAGAAAACTCCAACATTCTGTATTGTCTTTTTTCTAATTATTTTGTTGGTTTTATTCCTTCCTTCGTTCACTCATGCCTAATTCCTTTTCAAAATACTAATCCGAACATTCTTTTTGGTTTCAGCTACCAAACCGGTAACGGTATTGCAGTACAAGAAAACGGCTACGTGAAGAACTTCGGAGTCCCGAACAACGAAATCCAGGTCGCTCAAGGCTCATACTCCTACACCGGCCCCGACGGAATCCCCGTCCAAGTTACGTACGTCGCTGACGAGGGTGGTTTCAGAGCCGAGGGCGCCCACCTCCCCACCCCACCCCCCATCCCAGTCGAAATCCAGAGGGCGCTCGAATTCCTCGCCACTCAGCCCCAGGACCAATACGATGACCAAGGCAGAATCATCGGCCGAACTGCCCCAAGAGGCTAAACACCATCCATGAATTTTTTTCTTTGAGAGAGTCATTTTATCGCGCCACCTCTTAACTTAATAAAAATGTCCAGTTTTAAATCCAAAATCATTAAGAACCGACAATGACAAATGCTTCTTATGTAATACATTGAACATCTATAATTTTGACATGTAGGGTTTCGCGTTTTTTGTAACGATTGCAGTTATTTGTTATCAGGTGGCGCGCAAAAAAAGACGAACATCATAATGTACACATTTTCTTTCCCTTTTTCTAAGTGCGTGTGACCTACAAAAGAAAATTGGCCGTGTAAATAGCCCCGAGGAAGTGCCATAGAATTAAATAAAAAGATCTCATTACCAACTCGAGTGAGGTTAAATCACTTGCTGGAAAAATCAACGGTGAAAATCAAACCTACCATTCGTCAACCTAGCGAGAGTACAAAGCAATCAAGTTACCAGCGCGGAGTGTATACCGTTTTTCTGTATTAAACTTTACCCTTGTGGTTGTAAGATTGTAAATAAACGAAACATCTCAAGAAATATGATTTTGTTATTCTTCGATCCTCTTTGAATATTTCCTAGGTATTAATATGATGTACGTTCTTGAATACTCAAACACTAACATATAGTGTTTTTGATATTAGCGTTATTTGTTGCAGGAACATCAAAGCAGATAGAAATAATCGAAAATGTATTAGAGAGTAATTAATTACTCCTACACGGTGCAACATGTTTTCTCAGCATATTCTAAAAGGCACCATTTGACCAAATTTGTTTATTTTAATGCGTTCAACATGCATCAACAATCGAATTTTTCATTTAAGACAGGTTTTTTCAACTGCTTACAAAACATGTTTTAGGAAAATTTGATTTTCCAGGGAAATGTTGGGTGAAAACTGAGGTCATTTTTGTAATTAACAGCATCAAATAAATGGGAGTGGCGATGAAATAGTGCTAGGTCTATTCAGTTAACAATTTGTAAACACAGAAAAGCTAACTTAGAGAAGTTGATAATAATATGATCTACTAATTTAAATTACGCGTTTATTGGTATACAAATAATTCAAACGAGCTCACAGCTAATTTCATACCTATGAAATTAATGTAATGACGATAATTATTACAATTATCATAATAACAGAACAAATAAAGTTTCTACAAATATATACAGTTTAGAATTTAATCGGATTTTAGTAGGATAGTGAGAGTTAACAATAATGAGCAAATTTTACAGTAAAGCCAAAATGCTAATTTTATCTCGTCATGCAAAATGACTAGACATTTTCTGGAGCGTTCAAAGGATAGACCAACATCTGTTTGAAAGTTCTGAAATAATTACATCGGTGGATAAATTTTTAGTACCTTTTTAGGTTTATTTCAAAGTTTGAACGTACGCCCAATTACGTTTTCCAAGACAACGAAGAACAATCGAGGTATCAGTAAGGGGACCAAGTGCTTTAAAGTGAGCTTTAAAAGTTGTATTGCTCATTCTCTTACTCAGGTAAAGGATGAGGATATGACCTTCATAATTAGATAAGGACAACTTAAAAAAAATCGCTCCAACTTTCCAAAATAAAATAAAAAATTCTCAGAAAATGTGTGAGCGCCCCCTCGGAGGACCAAAAATGCACACAAATTTGGACCAATACCCTATTAAAAGATTCAATTTTTTGACAGCAAATCTTAAGGAAATAGGTCAATCACTGCAGTTCATAAATTAAGAGAGTTATAATTATGTGGCCTTTGATACAAGGCAAGTGAGTTAGGAGGAGAAAGAAGCGTAGGAGAAAACCTAGAGCATGTCGGGCGCATAATAGATGCGTCCTCTATATTTTGAACTCTAGAATATTTGAAGGAGAATAAATTTAGGCAGTAATCGGACGTGGCTTGGAATAATTATTTAAATTATGCTCCATATGCCTTAGTTGAACTTTTGCCTATTTCCCCGCTTTTTTCATTATTTCTATCAAGATTTTTAATCATGCTAATTAATTTTTCTCTGCATAGATTCATAAATGCAAAATAGCACTGCTGGCCTTTTAACTTCAATTTGTTTTCTTTTTTTTCTCACTCAAGCGGTGCTATTGCAGACCTTCACATTCAATTTTTTGGGTATGTTAAAACAGAACGCAGCTATTCGATTTTTTAGTAATTTTCGAGATCGGATTTTCTTCGAAGTTTGACTGATCAAAGTTAATTGAACTGACTAATTCAGCTAACAACGTGGCATTAGAAAGCATTATAGGTAAGTGCGTAAAAATTTACGTCATTGCCGACAAAACAACAGTTAGTCCACATCATTCCATCAGAGAGTGGTCCTCACTGCTGTCCTGAGTAAAATTTTAGGTATTCATTCCTGCCAATTTCTTATCTTATTTGTTTCCTGGATTGTTCAAATGTTACCACGCGAGTATGCAGAAGGTGCCTAACATCAAATACTTAAAGCCTCTTAACCTAGCCGAAGCTAAAAGTCATCGAAATTTAACCATCTGAACAATTCCTGGAGTCTGTTAGATGATCATAGACGATTTCACCGAGAACGAAGGATTGGTCCGGTGAATTTTTCCGTTTGGATATTACTAGGTGTATTTTCGTAACTCTTCATCCTCATTTTTAAAGGTCTCTTCCTTAACAAGAAAATTGGACCGCATTGTGCAAGTAAAAACCATAATTTTTGGCTCATATTAAAAACAGTCAATCGATCTGGAAACACCCATACCGTTTATCTCGGTTTTCGACGTTGCAGAATTCCTGTTATACTTCAGATTTTTGAACACCTCAAACGAGACACGTGGTTTAGGAGATTCCCTTTGCAAGTACGTGCTTTTATGGATAAGCCTGAAGCGTAGTTCATAATTGCAAAAGGCCAATTAACTTACCACAGTAGTTTTCTGCCGTACTAAGGAAGAACGACGCGTTAACAATCGAGAGATGCCAAATTTCCTTCGATAAAATGTTCATTTTTGAGGAAAGTTATGAATATTTTTCTTTGACATTTTCAGAAACTTTAGGTAAAATTGCGAGCAAAAGTATCTAAAAATTCGAAAGAAAATATTCATAAGTTTACAAGGAAATTCTTGTTTTATCAAAGGAAATTTGGCAACGGTTGAAGGTTCATACGGTGTTCTTCCTTAGCACGGTAGTTTTCCTCTTTGTAGCATTGTAAAACTCTAAGCACATCGTCTCCTAAAGCAAAGTGCAACGGGAATGTAAGCAGTGAATAAATTACGAGGAGAGTAGATTCCTCGCAGTTCAAACACCTTCTGGTGGAAACGCCCCCACCTCCCCGTTTGATGGGTGCGATCAGAGGGATTTCGTCACCGCGCCCTGCGGCGGCAAAACAGTAACACAGAAACCTGTTTAAATCACGATAATGCATCGATGATCGAATGCATCTGACTCAAACAATAACCGCTCTCGGTGGCCGCACCGCGCCGCGATGCACCAAATCGAAGCTGATAGGATCCCTCTCCTAGCAGGAGGAAGGGGGCAGGCAAAGTTGTCGGCTTAGGAAACGTATCCTTGATTTAGGGCTTTATTTCCTGTACTGGCGACTTTCGCAAGTTAGCAGCACTGGTTTCCTCCAGTTAGTTAGTCCTCCTGAGTTATTATCGATACCAAGGGAGGCAGGCTGCCGCAAAGAATCGAGTGTTTTACATACATTCAAATGGTCACGGAAGAAAAAATATGGTAGATTTTACCATAATCTGACTAATAAACAGGTAATAAACACCAGACTCTAAGGTAGCATTTACCATATTATAGGAATCACTTGATTTCTGGTGAATAATACCATGTCTTGTTATTTTCACTAAATAGTATCACTGTGTAAAAATCAAGCAGACTCATAGTAAATGGTAACATACTTTTTTTTTCAGTGTAGGAAAAAAATGTTGCTCACTTGCAAGGAGCGCCACGAATTTCCTCATGGTGATTTTTAACATCAGTGTAAAATATTATAAGTAGAACCTTGGAGGGAACAACTGCCAAACATTCTCATTGAAAACTCGTAAATTTTGGAGAGACAACTTTTATGAAATCTGATGACATTTATGTTGTAGAAGATCCCGTTGGCGTATTTTAATGGGAAATTCACGCTAGGACCAACTAATATTGTAGGAACATTTACAAAATAAGATTGGCAAGTTTACTCAAATGTGAACAAATGTCCTTCTAAGCTTGTACCAAGGTTTTTCCGATTGGGAGAGTTTTTTATACTGTTTACATTTTTGAAAGATATATCAAAATACTGTTCAGAAAAATAAAAGTTTTTTGGAGAAAGATTTTTACGTAAATTTTACTAGTCGTGAATTTCAGCCATAAAACTTATCGACAAGGGTTTCCTAAAACTCAATTTTAGCCAATTCTGCCGAGAGTTTTTGAAAATTGCGTACGGTCATTGTTATTGGGGTGTTTTAAATATAGAACCGGCAAAACAACTAAAATTCAGAACGATTCCAATGATGTAAAAATGAAATACACCTATGGCTACTTATTTTTTGGGATGCTATGAGAAGTTTTCCGTCAAAAATTCGAATTTCAATTTTTCGATTCAATTTCACAATAAGACCTCTTTTAAAAATGTTTGCACCCTTACAACTGTGAACTGTCACACCTAAAATTGTTTCTTTTTTGTGATTTTCTTGGAACTGCCTTCAACATTTTATAAATATAAACGAGAATTAAAATGCAAAGCACGGCATGAGATCATTACGTGAACATTTGCGAAAAACTAAGTATCGAAAATTATTATCTCGCAGTGAGCAAAACCTGACAACAATCCGTCACTTTTGCCGATTGGATTATTTTTGATGACACGTTACATTTGTCTCGCCACGTAAATCTCAGGTAGCAGTTCCCATAACTCTAAAAGTTGCTCCCAGATGTTTCTGTCGGCACCATTCACCAGGGCGATCCTCCTCATGAATATTCCCCGATGAATTATTGAGAGCCTCAAAGGCTGCCAAACGAAAAGGAATATTCCAAGTTTCCCGAGGTGTTAAGCTTCATATTTCGCTAACTTAGCTAGGAGGCAACCATGATCCCGGTGCATTCTTCATTTACGTAACCGTGGTTGGATGCTTTGATTTATTTGATAAAATATCGACTCCGAGGAGGCAGGCTGTCCACCCAAAAAATTATCACGCTCCAGTGCATCTTGGCGTTGCTCATCTTAATATATAATGAGGGAAAAATAAGAAGTGAAATTCCCCAAAAAGAGTTGCAACATACCATAGATTCTAAGTCATCATTTACATCACAGTGAATAATGGTAACAAAAATTATGAAGTCGAGCTTTATTATAAAGCTGGGCATTTTCAATGCGAGGTCGAAGTTTAGTGATGAATTCATGCCAGCCTCTTTCAATGAGTATTACTTGTTACCTTACAAGGTGGAGAAATGGTGCTGGCTCCACACCATTTCGCGGGGAAACAAAGCCAAGAAATACCAAAAATTAAAATTAGAGTCAAAAATAATTTATAATTAATAATTATATTATATTATAATAATTATATTATATTTAATAATTTATTTTTGAC